ACGTGACCCTCGTGACGCAGTCTCAGCTAAAGGGAGATAATTACTCTTTGCTTACCTACAAAAGTTCTACATCTCTACAGTAGGGAATAACGGTGTGATGATTTTGAATTATTAAATTAAATATTTTATTTTGAATAAATGGCTCTTTATATTGAATAAAAGAATCTGTTCAATGTTCTTTTTATTCTCTTAGTTTTGAATACTTCAAATATGGCATTTACACTAATATACATATTTGTTTATAACAAACAAACATATATATATATGCATACAAATGAGAGAAAGAACAGATGGTGTAAAATCCACAGTTCGTAGCATTTACTTTAAAAAAGTGCTCAATTCAAAGTAGAGGAAATTATATATATATATATATATATATATATATATATATATATATATATATATAGGAAAGATAGTTGCCTCGTATTGGAAGTTTATATTTCCCTCAGGAAAGATAGTTGCCGGTGATTGGAAGCAGCGTCTATACAACCATAGACGCTCATTTAGATATAGATGCCTCAGTAGACAGACTTCCTTATCCAAACACTACTGGGAACTGGTGGATAAGGGATTAAACCCAATTTTGAAATGGAGATACCTATCTAGAGCCAGAACACCTAATAACTTCCGCGATCGGTGTGATCTATGCATGGCGGAAAAAATCTTCATTATCAAAGATAAAAATCGAGATGAGCTGCTGAATCTTCGGAATGAGATATTCTCTAAATGTAGACATAAGAAACGTTTCAAAACTTGAACACCGTTTTGTAACATGTTGTCACTTATGTCGGCTCCATCTTAGTCCTATAACATCGGGCATGACATTTTAATTGTATGACTATTATATTTATCTCTAAATGTATCTTTGTGCACGTTTATGTGATGCGCTATGTATTTATATATGTATATATGTTTGTGTATGTGTGTGCATGTATGTATATGTATGTATATGTATGTGTATGTGTATGTATATGCATGTATATGTATGCAGATATATATATAAAAAATTTTTTTTCCATACACGCGCAAATATTTGAATCGTCACTTATTTAGATTTTAACTTTTTATATATATGTACATATGTGTATCTCTGTGTGTGTATTTATATGTATGTATGTGTATATATGTGTGTATATTTGTATGTATATGTCTGTATGTGTATATGTGTGTATGTATGTAAGTGTGTATATATGTACGTATGGAGGTGTTTATGTATGTATATGTATAGGTGTGTATGTGTACTTATGTATATACATGTTTATGTGTGTGTGTATGTGTGTGGATGTGTATATATACATGTGTAAGGGTGTGTATGTATTTGCATGTGTATATATATATATATATATATGTGTGTATATGTGTGTATATGTATGTATGTGTGTATATGTATGTGTGTATGTGTATGTGCGTGTATGTATGGGTATATATATATATATATATATATATATATATATATATATATATATGTATATATGTATATGTATATGTGTATGTATATGTATGTGTATATGTATGTGTATGTGTATGTATAAGTATGTATGTATGTATGAATATATGCATGGGGGCATATGTATGCGTGTATATGTATGTGAAAAGTGTGTGTATATGAATATAGATGAATATGTGTATGTGTTGATATGTGAATATATTTTTAGGTCTTTTATATATATATATATATATATATATATGTATGTGTATGTACACGTATGTCTGGGTGTGTGTGTGAGTACATGCCTAAGTGTATGTACCTACTTGTATATGTTTTTGTGTGTATTAGTATGTGTTTTTGAATATAGAAATATTTGGTCCTTGCTAAATTAGACAATCGTTATATTCATCTTCATATATTTATATTTGATTTCTAACCTGTAGTCGATACTAATTTTCTCAATTACAAAGCGGCCCTTTAAGTAAACACAATTTTATTTTCCTTCGTCCCATCTCTCTCCCCCACCTCTTCTCTTCTTTTTTTTTCCCCTCCTATCCTAATTGTCTATGGTGTGTATATATCACCACGAAATGTATCTTTATGCATTAGACATCCGTCGACTTTCTTTCTCTCCTCTTTTTAAATCCCCACCCCACCCACATCTCCTAAAATTCTCTCTGTTAAGGTTTCATGTCCCTCCTCCTCATACTTACACTTTCTCTAAATTCTGTTTTGATTTCCGGAGTTGTTTTTTTCTGTTTTCATTTTGAATTTGTAGGTCTGATGATTTGGATCGTATTTACGATTCCAATGGAATAAATTATGACCATGGAATATTAGTGTTTACTTTTTATTATTTATATATATATATATATATATATATATATATATATATATATATATATAAATATCTTCTCCTTTGATCAGAATAGCATTTTATATATATATATATATATATATATATATATATATATATATATATATATATATATATATATATATATTACGAATACATTTATGTACTGAAAAATAGTGATAACAAGACAAGAAACTTCTTGTTTCGGAAACTTTCTGAATTACAAATAATGACTAGCCAAGATTTTCAGTATTTTCTACTCTTTTTACTAAATGTTCATAATTTTTTTTAACCAGTTTCTTGCTTCTGTGAATTGTCCACCTAATTCTTACCGCCCCTCCTTTTACTTCCGTTTTGTCTTCACATCTTGTTTACATTTATCTGTCTCTTGTCCAATTCACCAATAGAGCGTAATTTTCTTGTTTGGCTTTTGGTCTTTTAATATTTCTTCTGCTGATCTTGTCTTTTCTAATAACACAAAATCTAGATGAGTCTTCCATTTTTGTTGCAAAGTGAAAACAAAACGTTGCATAGATGTTGACTCATCTCATCCGTGGCAATGATTAGTCCCAAAACAATGGACACGAATCTTCATGGAAATTTTCTAGCTTGTCTAGTTTAAAAAAAAAAAAAGAAGCTCTCTCCAAAAAATGTAAATTCACAAAGTAAATATTAGTATCAAAAGAATGTAAGCGTTAATATCTTTTTAAACTCAAACAAAATAATAAAATAATAAAAGGTAAGCTTAAATAATTAATTCAATTCTTAAATGCAGCGATCAATTTTGAGTTCTGTAATTTAATGATGCCTATCGCATCTACTCCTCCCCAGTAATTCTCCACTGCCCTAACCGGATATTGAACCCACACTCTTGAACTTGGAGAGGGGAATTAACAGGAGGTAACTGATAACTGACACCCATTAAATACGGCACGTGGAACTAGAACAGTCTGCCCCAGTGAGCGAAATAAAGGGTTCAGTTCGACTTTCCAACTACCTGAAGAAGGCTGGAGCGTAAAACGACCGAAACGTTGTAATAAATATGGCAACAAAGATGAGGAGAATATTCCGAATAATGTAAATAGTGTGCACAATACCTCATCTCAGAATATAGACAGATATTGAAAGGCCGAAACTTTGTAATAAATATGGCGACAAAGATGAGGAAAATAGTCCGAATAATGTAAATAGTATACATAATACCTCATCTCAGAAATATTGACAGATACTGAAAGGCCGAAACGTTGTAATAAATATGGCGACAAAGATGAGTACAATAGACCGAATAATGTAAATAGTATACATAATACCTCATCTCAGAAATATTGACAGATACTGAAAGGCCGAAACGTTGTAATAAATATGGCGACAAGGATGAAGACAATAGTCCGAATTATGTAAATAATGTACATAATACATCATCTCAGAAATATAGACAAATGCTATTCATTATTAGATAATGGGCACAGAGAGGGAGACTGCAACACTCGCGTAAGTTAACTTTCCTGGCTTTTATTAAATCAGTTTAATGTTTGACACTTTGATAATTACAAAAGTAATCATGCGTGTTCAGTTCAATTGCGAGTATAAAACGACCCCTATTTTCAGTGATAAAAAGACGTGTTGAAATTTTGCTCTTCTCTGCGAAGCAATCCCTGGCTTTCCGATTTGTAAAATCAATCAGTTGCACACCATGGCAACGCTTTACCAGTAAATCCTCAATGCATAATTTGAACCGACCGTCTACAGTGAAACAAATGATTTTCAGACATGATTTAGAAAGTGGCACCAATTGTAACGTCACATGTAAACAACAGGTCTATTCGGTTTACGGTAAAGTTCCCGACGCCATTTTTTCGCAATGTTAGAGAAATCATAGAAGCAACTTTCATCTTTACTACTAACTCTTTCTTCTTCATACAAAGATGTTGTTTACAATTCATTGAAAAAAAGAAAACGCTGAGGTAGGCAAATAGTTTAAATATTCACTTGTGAAAATGGTACTTGGTTAATGTTTAAACACGGGACTATTAAAAAAGGTGCCTTCCAAAAGCTAAGTAAAATAGTAAGCAACAGGAAAATAACAACAAATAAAATGTGATGAATTATGTAATATAAATGCTCCTGTATGGATGCCGGACAATTTTTGTCAAAGATGAAGAGAAAACTTTAGGCAGCAGAGATGTTGTTTTACAGAAGGAAAAATACTGAGAATACCATGGACAAAGCATATGAATAACGAGGAAATCTTCAAGAAAATTGAAACAAAAAGATTGAAACAAAAAACTGCACTGATGGAAAGTCCCTGAAAATCCTACAAAGATTTGACCCAAGCTTTGTGATTAAAATTAGGCAGATAAAACAGTCCAATGATGGTTGTACTAATACTAAGTCATAAATCATTGTAACTGCACATTTGAACTTACTGCCTTTGTTTAACTTCAGATCAACCCCGATTATATGCCCACTTCCAGAAACTGTAACAAAGATCTACCCAGGGTTGTTGCAGAATGAAATGCAGGTTAGTTCCGTGGGTGTTAAAGAAATACAAAAGCAGATGTCTGCGGTAAGGATTAGCTCACCACCCTACCCAAAAACGAATAGCTATTAATACTCTAAATGACAAAGATGATCAACATGTATGTGTCTGTGTATTCTGTGATAATATATAATCAATGTTGATAAGATTTATATTTTGGCCTACAGCCCCATCACATTGAAACACCAGTTCCCATATGATCCCCAAGGATAAGCAACATTGAGCCTGGTCATTACCTAGATGGGTAACCACTTGGGAATACCATGTGCTATAAGTTTGAATGTGCAGGTGGTGTAATGAATAATGACTCGGAATTGTTAATCGGAGAGCCAAAAATCCAATTGTCGTTGGATTCATTATATTTCCTTGTGCGCAGATATCCTTCGGAAACGTATGAATTCATCTCTTCTTCTCCCCAGCTATGGGTTAATTTGCAAAGACTTGTATCACTAAAATTTTTACAATTTAAAAACATTTTATGACTTTAAATAACCTGCAAACGGTAGAAAGTGAATGAAATGATCCATAAGGAGTTGATATGCAGCTAAATGAACAGTTCTTTTAAATGGTGAGCACATATCTGACTGATTAGAATATTAGTGTTCCGAGATGATTCCAGCAAATGGCACTGATGGGAAGTCCCTGAAAGCTTTACAAAGGTTTAACCCAAGCCTTGGGAACAAAATTAGGCAGATAAAACTGTCCAATGATGGTTGTACTACTACTACAAAGTCATAAATCCTTGTAGCTGCACATTTGAACTTACTGCCTTTGTTTAACTTCAGATCAACCCCGATTATATGCCCACTTCCAGAAACTGTAACAAAGATCTACCCAGGGTTGTTGCAGAATGAAATGCAGGTTAGTTCCGTGGGTGTTAAAGAAACACAAAAGCAGATGTCTGCGGCAAGGATTAGCTCACCACCCTACTCAAAAACGAATAGCTATTAATACTCTAAATGACAAAGATGATCGACATATATGTGTCTGTGTATTCTGTGATAATATATAATCAATGTTGATAAGATTTATATTTTGGTCACATTGAAACACCAATTCCTGTAAGATCACTAAGGCTAACCAACATAGGTTTGAAGTTTGGTCATTTTAATAAATTTGACTCCACACTAAAAGCAACATAACATCAAAAAATTTAAGTATTTAACAGAAATTATAATACAAGTTTCATCCTTTGTCATATTGTACCAATAGATTTATACAGTATATCTTAAGGAAAATTATCTTGAATTTTATCAGTTGATAAAATTTTTACGGTAATCTTTCAACACCAATTACCACATTATATCAAAGGTTGTTCTAAATCTATCATTGGTATGACGATAAACTACGCCTTGCAGCAAGGCTTCTGATCAGGAGGTTTTGAGAAGTGTGGAAACACCTCTTAATTGCTGTCATTCCCAGGTCCACCTTGACCTCGGGTGGTAGCACCTGTTAGATTCCCAGCTATTGGCAATTAATTAACTCCTAAACTTGGACCAAAACATTATGAAAGTATAAAAAATTTTACAGTAAAAATACCAGCAATATATTTTCACAATAAAAAAAATTACCAGCAATATATTTTTATAAAAAGAAAAATAATAATGCTCCCAAGAAAATTAAATTTCACAATTAAAGGAGTTGATCTGCTGCTAAATTAACAGTTCTTTTAAATGGTGAGCACATATCTGACTGATTAGAATATTAGTGTTCCAAGATGATTCCAACAAATGGCACTGCTTTTGTTTAACTTCAGATCAACCCCGATTATATGCTCACTTCCAGAAACTGCAACTAAGATCTACCCAGGGTTGTTGCAGAAGGAAATGCAGGTTAGTTCAGCGGGTGTTAAAGAAACACAAAAGTAGATGTCCGCGTCGAAGATTAGCTCACCACCATACCAGACAGGCATACTAAAAAACGAATAGCTATTAATACTCTAAATGACAAAGATGATCAATATGCATGTGTGTGTGTTTGCATTCTCTGATAATATAGAACCAGGGAAGATAAGATTTATATTTTGGCTTGCAGCCATATCACATTGACACATAGGTTCCCGTACAATCACCAAAGTTAAGCAACATCGAGCCTGGTCAGTACCTAGATGGGTATCCCAGGTGCTGTAAGTTTGGATGTGCCAGTGGTATGGCTTACGGTGACATCATGTCTGATCATTGAAGTTAAGCAACATTGAGTCTGGACAGTACCTCGATGGGTGACTACTTGGGAATACCAAGTTCTGTAAGCTTGGATGTTCAAGTGGTAGGCCTTATAGCCACATGATGTCTGATCATTGAAGTTAAGCAACATCGAGCCTGGTCAATACCTAGATGGATGACTACTTGGGAATACCAAGTGCTGTAAGCTTGGATGAGCCGGTATATAATGGATAATTCTCGTTGGATCCGTTATATTCACTTAAGTGTAAATAGCCTTTGGAAAGGTATAAATCCACCTCTTATTCCCCTCCAGCTATGGGTTAATTAGTAAGACTTGTTTCACTAAACCATTATTATCTAACAAAATTCTTAAAACCTAAAAAATATTATATGGCTTTAAATAACTTTACAAAGGGTTGATAAGCCGTAGAAAACGAGTCAGTCATGGTTCATATTTTAATCACCCGTGACTGGTAAATATAGATTATTCTTTTTCAAAATAAAAAAAAAATGGCTGATATCAGAATCAGTGAAAGTAAAACATTTTAACTAAATGTTAATAGTGAGTGTCTATATTTCTAAGATGAGGTATTATGTACATTATTTACATTATTCTGACTATTGTCCTCATCTTTGTCGCCATACGTTAAAGGCGTTGGTTAGATCCAGTGACAGGACCCAAAGAGTGTGAGTTCAATAGCCGGCTAAGGTAGTGGCGAACTTTCAGAGGGAAATTAACAGGAGATAACTGATAACTGACATCCATTAAACATGGAACGTGGAACTAGAACAGTCTACCCAGTGAGCGAAATAAAGGGTTCAGTTCGATATTCCAACGATCTGAAGAAGTCCGGATCGTACAACGGCCGAAACGTTGTAATAAATATGGCGACAAAGATGAGGGCAATAGTCCGAATAATGTAAATAATGTTAATGGTGAGATTAGCTATTTTCATACAAGAAATATTCGGTATTTCTTGACCAAAATTTATTGTTACCATAGTTTGGAATTTATGAAATAATTCTTCGTAAAGTTTTCAGGAAAGTAAAGTCATCACTCTTTCTAGTATTAATGGAATTTCGTTTTGGTAATATCCGAAAGTTAAGTAAAGTATAAAGAAACAGGAATATTTCATTAGTGACAATGAAAAGCGCTCAAACTGCGATGTAATATTAGCCCTCTCCGAAGATGAAGAGAGATATTAGAGATATGGTTGATGAGAATAACAGGGACGGGACATGAAAATAACTAGGAAGTTTTAAAGAAAATGGAAACAAAAAGGAAGCCTATAGTTAGAATCAGAAAAAGATAGCTTAAATTTATAGGATACATAATAGGGGGAGGAGGCTTAAATATTTTTATAACCGCAGTACATAGTGAGATCAAGAGGGAGAGAGGAAATCAGTGAGTAACCTACATAACGAGCTTTTGTAAATGGATGGAAGAATAGGGAGTGAAATGATAGTAAAAGATAAAACATTACGAAGGGCTACAAAGGATAAGAAATTGTGGAGAGCCATGATCAGCCCCTTCCTGAATAGGACACAGCACATAACAGAATTTTATAAGGAATGCTTTATATAGTTTATAAGGATTGCAATCGATTCAGAACTTTAGAGGCATCCTTTCAAGATGTGTCTATGAACAAAGAAGGCTGTTTACAAGGCAGAACTGTCTAATCTCTTGCATAAAGCGTTGTCGGAATAGAATTCTGATTGAAACCTTAGAAGATTTGTATCCTTAATGCAAAGCAGGTTATATCCACATTATAAAATAAAAAGAAAAGTTTTGCAAGTGTTGATTACTGTGCTTTTCACAATTAATTAAACATCGTTATGGCTTTTACTTATTTCTACCTTTAGAAATGTTTTTTTTTTTTCAAAGTTCTATGTATCTTGGGATCCTCGATCAAATCCAAAGTATGATCAACATTATCGTTGGTCCTGACATGACGTCTCAACTTCAGTCATTTTCCACCGCCGTAAAATAGATTCCCTGTGTCTTTTCTACAGGGGTGCCCCACAATAAAGAAAAAAAAAACAATTCTAGATTTACTCTATAATGAAAAAATAAACATATAAAAACTTAACTGTATATTTCATTATATGAACTAAAAAATTAACTAACATATAACTTTTTTTTTAACCATTTGCTGTTCCAAGATACCGCAGTTATCAAACAGGTGATTGTTCTTTTTAAGAAAGAACATCCAACTTGGAGACTGAAAAAAATGCCAAGAAATTTTACCAAAGTTCTTTATTTTGAACACATCTAACGTTGTATTTTTGTTCTGTTTTTAGCTGCAAAATTTCTATACTTTGTTTTGCTTCAAATAACAGTAACAAAAAGTCCACCAATTAAATAAACTTTTCCAAATTTCCATTTTTTTGTTGTTTATTTGTTTTTGTGGTTACTGCATAAATAAAGTATTTATACAGAATGCCTACAAAATGGTAATTGTTTTGGGGGGGCTCTTCGCTGTGGTACCTAGACTTTATGAATATAAGCGCATTACTAGCCAAGCGTCGAGATCTCATAGATACACAGTTGAGAACCGTAAGTTCTATCCTAACAGGTTCTTCTCTTGCACTTCTCACTTGTGGAAACCCTTCCCGCTCCATTCTTTCCAGTCGACTTTAATCTTTGAATGCAATGTCAACCGATATCTACTCTCCCTCTGATTACTCTTTTTGTTCTCGCTCATTAGTAATGTTTCTATATTCTAAATCTTCCACACCCAGTAATCCCTTGCGGCTTTACTACTTTGTTTGGGGTGAACTTAATTTATATATATATATATATATATATATATATATATATATATATATGTATGTATGTATGTATGTATGTATGTATGTATGTATACCGGGGCAAAATAGTCCAAATCGTGTAACACCAAAATTGTGCAATTGTTAGATTAAGCTCTGAACCGTTGTATCTTAGAAAAGATTAAAGAGATCTTACTGGAATTCTCCCTGGTTTTTATAACAGTATTGGATTCTACTTTGAGCAATACGAATGTATAATTACTCTCAAGCTTAAGAGAAGAATCCTGACGAAATCGATCATAAACGAAAATGACATGATCATAATTAATTAATCATAGCTACGGATCAGAAGCTCATGAAGCATTGAAAATAAGTTCATATATATATATATATATATATATATATATATATATATATATATTCAGGATCGTTTTCTAACTTATTCAAGATGATCTAAGTCCTCTCTGGAGTAACAAAGTGAATCAAAGGTTTCACTTACGATTTCATTTTCAAGTCTATTTTTTCACTGCTCCTTGAACTGTCATAACTGAAACTCTTCTCTCACGTACCAAATGTTTTATGTATTGAGTTGGATCTTTTCTAATTGATCTCTTTAACTATAAGTTGTAATGATGGTTCTTCTTATTGTTGTGATCTCCTGATCCAGTTTTCCTCTTTATTTTTCCCTCTTTTTTAAAACTTATTCACCTTTCTCTTGATGGTTTTTGAATGGACTTTGAAGATGGAAGCCAGAGTATGAATGTTGATAGCTTTACTGAAGGCCTCAATGATCTTTTTCCTCTCACCGTTCGGAAGACAGTCGATTTGGCACAAAACAATTTTACGCTGACGTGCCTTACCGATCGGCCACAAAGAATCGTTCGGTAGACAAGGTCGAATTTACTGCTTATAAACTTCAATCTTCCATGAATCTCGTACATTCATAACTGCTCAGCGTAAATGACGGTTCCGTATAGGATGCAGGTTCGAATCCTGTCAAAGAACGACTATTTTCTATGAAAATTTCTCGGACATTCAGGCCGGTAAATGTTATTTAATACTGTTTATCATAAACAGAGCATTTACTTAAATACTTGTATCTATAAAAAAAACAACGTTAAACATAAAAATGTCTTTATATATATATATATATATATATATATATATATATATATATATATATACTATGCACTGAAAGCAAGTAACTAAATTTTGAGATTTAACATTATTTATTGATGTTTTACATATAATAAAGTGGATTACCTTTTGAAATTTACAAGTTTGATTTGTAAAATGTTTTATTTCCACTATATTTATTATTCAAATTCTAAGACCTACTGATTGCAAAAAGCGTGATTGTGTGTGTGTGTGTGGGGGGGGGTAATGCTAATATTAGGCGTTTCCTTATAAGGGAACGTTCGTCATTCATTGACCAAGCGTTTATACTTTTGTCGATTGAAAGCTATAAAATCTTTCTCTTATAACAATTTGCGGGAGAATAGATTTCTCGAGTCCATTCACTGTTACTACTCTTTCCAGTACTGATGGTGGGAGAGTTCCTTCCCTGCCTTTTGTTTGGGGTACAGTGGAACTTCAGTATTTTGATTATATCATTATTCTCTCTTCGGTGCCATCCATTTTAGCTGTTACTGCTGTTGAAAGTCCTCAAGAGATGTAGTTTCTGTTACTTGGTACAGTTCGAGGTTCGATGAAGGATGGTCCTCCAGAAGCCTATGCGCTTCACTCACTTGAAGCCATTTTTGACCATCGATCTCAGAAAGAGGCTGTATATAACTGACAGTTGAGATATTCGTGAACGATTTTATCGATATGTACGGCATTTATATGAAAGTCTTCATCTGATAAGACTATTCCAGAACACGACTTGATTATTTTGTTTAATGTTTTGGTTCAGTAGCAACTTGCGGTGTTGGAAACTAATCCTAACCAAACCTATTCTATGTGCAAGTTCTTTTTCTCCTATACTAAATTTGTTTTACATTGAGGTATCTGAAATGTTTAATATTTAGTAATTTCAAATGCTGGATTTTTTCTGAAGAAATCAAAGTACGCACCATCACTGCTTTCATTCCAATTCCAGATCATTTTTTTTCTGTTTTGGAAAGATTTATCTTGAGTCCTGCTTTTGTTTCAAATATGAATACCTATTGTCATCATAGGTCGGCTTATCGTCTATACATTAGCCTCGCGTGTGGAAGCAGGAAGGCTGTTTTGTATTAGTATCAGGTCATCCCATAAGTTCTGTCCGAATTTTGAATAAAGAAAACAAGTGACCAAATGTTACACTTAATTACAGATTCAATCAACAACGTATTTTCCCTGATTATTTATGACTTCCTTCCATCTATTAACAAGCTTACTAATTCCATTACTGTAAAATTCTTTTAGCTTTGATTCGAAGAACTTACAAATGTCAGTTTTAACCTCTTCCTGTGTTACAAAAGCTGTTTCTTCCAAATGATTCTGTAAGCTACGAAACAAATGGTAGTCTGAAGGAGTAAGATCGGGAGAATAAGGTGGATGAGGAATTTTCTCCCAACCAAGTTCTTCGATCTTTTGTGACGTGATTCTTGCTTTGTGGGGTCGCGCATTGTCCTGATGAAACATCACCCCTTTTCGATTCACTAGAGCAGGTCTTTTTTCTTCAAAGCTTGGTTCAAACGCTCCAATTGCTGACAGTATATTTGAGCATTAATTGTTGCATTTCAAAGTGGATTATTCATTGGCGATCCCACCAGATTGAAAGAAGAACCTTTTGTCCATGAAGTTCCCTTCTCGGCTGTGGTTGGGGTCCTTCCCCTTTACCAAGCCACTGTCTACGACGCTTAACATTTCGATAAAAGATCCATTTTTCGTCGCCAATCACAAGTCTATCCAAACAAGGTGAAACAAGTTAGTGAAAATGGAGAGAAGAGCAGATGTCAACTCAGGATTTGAGGTTGTTTTCAGACAGTTCATGAGGCACCCATTTTCCAAGTTTAGGAACTTTTCCAAGTTGTTGAAGATGACAATGAACAGTTGTATGGTTTGAACTGTGAACCACTGCCAATTCCTCAACTGATAAAGCAGGATTTTCTTCAAGGGCTGCTTCAAGAAGCTTTTCATCAAACTCGACTGGACGTCTGGTTCGATCTTCATCTTCAAGGGTGTAATCTCCACCACTAAATTTTGCAAACCATCATCTGCAAGTTCTTTCATTCACACATTTTTCTCCATAAACTGAGTGGATGTTTCTAGCCGCTTCGGCTGCTGAGTTTTCTTTCTTGAACTCATAAAGCATTATGTGCCTCAAATGATTCTTGGGTACTTCCATGTTAGCAGGGTTTTAATCAAACAGAATTTAATTTTATTGTTCTCTGAAATAAAATTTGATCAGTTTAAATGCATCTAAACATAAAAATAATGTTCAGTTCCATTAGACATTACAAAATACTCTTTAAATTTCGTTCATTTTAACAAAAAGTTAAAATTTGGACAGAACTTATGGGATGACCTGATATATTAACTTGGGATTAGATATGGAATGTTTAAATGATCAGTGACCATCATATCTGTGCTTGTATGTCCGCAAAATATAGTCTAGGAAAAGATTAAATAGACTGGGGCTCACATTTCCTCCTTATCGTCTTCCAGATGGGGTTTAGAATGTCTCGATATTTGGGGTCCTGGCCCGACATATATGACTTTGTGAAGCGATATAGTTCTTCTGTTAGGCTTTGACATTCAGTGGATTCAGAAGTTCATTTCTAATCTATGATAAGAGAAAGTTTTTCTTTTTTTTCTGATGTGGTCGTATGCTGCTCTGAGATCTAAGTATTAGTTATAAATCTTCCATTGGAGAGGTAAGCAACTTTTTGATGATACATAATACCAGCATTACACCCCTTGCTAGATTGAAAGCTAAACTGGGTCTTTTGGGGTTGATTTTCATAGAAAAATTAAAGCCTAGTTAATAAAATATTGATTAGTAACATGAGCATAATAAATTCAATTAAATATATGTCTGTATGTGTGAGTGTCTTGGGGAATATATTTTTATTTCCCTGCTGCATTAATACGCGATATACCCCCGCTTTTGGGGGATGTGCTTCGGATTCCAGGCTTCTTTCATTAAACTAGGAACGTTCCTAAATTAGGAGAGAGTGTACGCTAAGTTTCAAAGTTCAGCCTTATAGGTCTATAAAAGAACCCGTTTTTAATTATAGGTTTATAAAATAATCCGGTTTTAATTATAGGTTTATAAAAGAACCCGGTTTTAATTATAGGTTTGTAAAAGAACCCGGTTTTAATTATAGGTTTATAAAAGTATCCAGTTTTAATTATAGGTTTATAAAAGAGCCGGGTTTTAATTATAGGTTTATAAAAGAATCCAGTTTTAATTATAGGTTTGTAAAAGAACCCGGTTTTAATAATAGGTTTATAAAAGAATCCGGTTTTAATTATAGGTTTATAAAACAGCCCGGTTTATATTATTTTATATAGGAATAGTGTCGTTGTCGAAACTGGAGTTTGAACAAAGATCGCCAGTGAGCAAACACGTACGATCCCATTTTGAATAAGTAGATCACGTGATGGTAAAAGAAATGTGTATATGGGAATTAGTGTGGGATCTAATTGATCACCATTTCTATTCTATCCCCTATTACTATACGGATCACTCTTTCTACGCTATCCTCTAGCCACTATTTCTATTCTCTATTCAGATCACTATACGGATTATTATTCGTATTTCTATTCGGTGGTTACTATACGAGCGAGTATTATCGAGCAAGTACTATTAGTGTGAGTGTTATTCAAAGGCATCTGACACTAGTATTGTTCAACGGCGTTACTATAGTTTTATCTACGATTACAAAGTCTCTACTACACAGAGCATTACGAAAGTGACAACGAATATTCGTTGACATTACAAAAGTGACAACGAGTGTTCGTTGACATCACAAAAAATTCGATTTTTATAAAAAAAAAAAAATACGGTATCAACTATAGGTTTGTACGAAAACTAATTATTGATTTCTATTAAATATAAGTTTCTGTCTATAACCCAATAATACCCCCGTCCCCTAAATGGGACAGTGGGCGTTAATAGGTTCATTTTAACCATTGACGAATACAGTCTCGTATATGTGAAAAATGCGAAAGATTTTCTCTTGCAAGTCTTTACATCGTATTATACATGGTAATTCTTTCTAACTGTTGGGACAGAATTAACATTTTCAGAGAACCCGCTTAAACATAACATAATTTAATAACGCTTCACAATCGAATAAAACATAAAAATGTTTTAAAACATCCATATAAATCTCAGGGCTAAACATAAAACATAATAGCAATCCATGTATTGAATGGATATACTATCAGGAAGGACGGCTTGGAAAATTTAATCCTCACAGGACGTATTGCGAGAAAGAGGAGAATATGGTAACCGCGATCAATTTAATGAGATGGCAAGGAGGAGTGGCAAAGAGTCAAGCGAGCAACAAGGGACAGGAAGTTGTGGAGAGCTTTGTACAAAGGAGAAAGACACATAAAAGAAGCCGTGACTGAAATTCGAACTCTTTTCGCCGATTTCTTTTGTTTTCTGCATTGTTAGCACACAGCATCACTCTTTCAGTTTAAACAGTGCATTATGGAGCTCAACTCTTTCGAAGTCCGTATACTTCCGTAATCCGAGAGATTTCGCTTCTCAAATATTTTAAATCGGATTTATTGAATCAATTTAGACCTTTAAAATTCACTGTCTGTTTATACCTTTTCTTTATATCTTTGTTTGTTTCAACTCATGTCATTTGCATATGGTGCAGTTTGAAATCGTGTAATTAATCGTTCGAGAAAATGGCCTTCCTACGATTTGAATACGCAACTGTTTATCTTTTTTTTCTTATTTTTTCTTCTTAATTTTCTTCTTATTTTTTCTTCTTATTTTTTCTTCTTATTTTTTCTTCTTTTTTTCTTCTTATTTTTTCTTCTTATTTTTTCTTATTTTTCTTCTTATTTTTTATTTTGTCTTTTCGTCTTTATTTTTTTCGTATTTTTCTTCTTATTTTTCTTCTTTTTTCTTCTTATTTTGTCTTTCATGTTTTTTCTTATTATTTTTTCTTATTATTTTTCTTCTTTTTTCCTTCTTATTTTGTCTTTCCTATTTTTTCTTCTTATTTTTCTTCTTTTTTTTCTTCTTATTTTGTCTTTCTTATTTTTTCTTATTTTTCTTTATTATAATTCTCGTTACGTGTTTCCCTAACGTTTACGATCCGAGTAATTTCTACATTATGTATAACTATTTTTCTGCTTTTGTTTATCAATTTACTTCTTCACAAAAATAAAGTACAGGATAGTCTGAAAGTGCTGTCATCCACTACCAAAATGTAATGAGAACAAGAGAAGAACAAGTAATACAGTAATACAAAATACATGTACTGGATTCAGTTTATTGACACTGTCACACATTGAGAAGGTCTATAGGGTCACCATCATTTTCGTAGCATAAAATGATGCAGCATCATGTCCTGATTGATATTTTAAGAATCTGTGCTTTGTTGATTGTTGCAAAGGTTCTCCGAACGGCGTCCTTCAACTTATGGGTAATCTGTTATCGTTCATGTGAAACTCTTTCTTTGATAATATCCTACAGAGCGTTGAAATAGAAAATTATGTAGCGGTGATAAAACTTTCGGACAACCCTGTACAATTACATTTTTAATCTACATCACCATTATTTGTAATGATGTCTTGCCACTTATCAGGCAGATTATCGACACATTTTTAATAAAATTCTATATTCTAATGAGTAAAAGATTTCAACGAACTCTTGAACATGGTTTTTATTAAAGAAAGTTTTCTCCATCAGAATGTCTTGTAGTGATAAAACCAACAATAACTGGTTAACGCAATATCGGATGAATATAGTGAGCTGTGCAAAATACACGGCGTCTCAAATGTCTGTGTCACATTACGACACTGTACAATGTAATAACAATTGAGGACATCAAAACACAATTTATATTTCCTGACAGCTACTATTTCCACATTTCTATACAGGTTTTTACAGGTGTTCAATGGGAGCACTACAGGTTACACGACACACATTCACTTTCCTAACTGGTTCAATCGTATCAACTGAAGTTGAGGAGCGTTCTGTTCTCTTTGTCGGGCACAAACACCCGTCCTCCTTAAATTTTGCTTGCCATTTCAAAATGGAACGTCTGCCTGGTGCCTGCTTGGTAAACGTTGTACGAAATTTGCGCTGAACACATGTCCATGATTCAGTTTCAGCATATTCTAGGACGCCAAATGACTTCTCTTGTTTTGTGAATGAAATTACCGGATCTGAAAAGAGACAAAAAAAAAATTAAATTAAATTTAATCAATTAAATTAAATTTAAATTAACAGAAGAAAATGCTTTTAGCCTTTTAAGTGGTACCAGTTCAATCATGCTATCATCTGTAGTTCATGATATAAAAGTTATTCGTATATGACATAATCTTTTGAAACAACTTTTTATTTCAACCGAGTTCCAAATATTTTTCCTGGATGTTTCTTGCTATATAATATCTTATGTTATCATAGTGAATAACGTTTTTCGTGTTTTTTTTGTTTTTTTTGACAAACTTTTATATACACGTTGCAGCTGCCGGGTGTATAAATGTGCATTTATTAGTTCTCATCAGAATCCTGTCTGGGCATTTATAAATCTACCAATCGTTCCTGCATAGAATACTGTTGCCATATCTTGTCTAGTGATCTCGAGATTCCAGACAAAATTCAAAGAAGGGCCTGTAATGTAATCGATTCTGACCAAGCATCCCGACTTCAATGTCTTTCTCACCGATGTGACGTGGCTTCCCTCTGTCTTTTCTGCAAATATTTTCATGACAACTGTTCTGACAAGCTTTTATTTCCCTGGTGACCCAAATGCATAAATTTAAGCGTTCTACTTGATTGGCAACAAGATCTCGCCGTTTTACTGTTGTACTAGCTAAATGCAACCACCACTCCTGCTTTAACAGTTTCTTTTCTCGCACTTCTCAACTGGGGGGTGGTTTGTTCGATTTCTTGCTTCACTGATAACTATAATCTTCAAAAATTTAAATACAACGTCAACTGCTAACTTCTATCCTTATGAACCCTGTTACTTTATTGACCTTTCCTCATTCCTCCCCGCTAATGTCTTATTCACCTTCACTCCCTGTAACGTGTGGCATTTTTGTCTTCTTTGGGGTGAAATCATTAAAAAAAAAGTTTCATTGCGTTTTCAGAACTCTGAATGGATAATACCCCCACCAATTCCATTTTGAAACTCTCTTCTGTTTTCTTGCCTTTCTGCCAACTTTGATCTTGAAATATTTAAATGCAACGTCAATCGTTATCTTATATCTTTTTAATTCCTGTCTTTTTATTGTTCTCTCTCCTTAATAATGGTTTTATTTTTCTCATATTCTCTCACACTCAGAAACGCCTTGCGTCTTAGCGGTTTTATTGCCTTGCTTGGGCTGAAATGTTTAAAAAAAAAGAAGTAAAATGAATATAATCTTGGCTTCTAAAAATAACTTTTTCTTTTTTTAAAGCAGTCATAAAATAAATAATTTTGAAAACATTAAAATTGTTATAGAATCCTTTAATTTTAGGTCCGGGACATTAATAGCTACGATCTTTTCTGCGGCGTTCGTAATCACAATTGTTATCGTCTGACATTTCTGAGTATTACATCAATCAAGAGAAGGGGAAAATTACAAAATAATTAAAATAATTTGAAATAATCTGTTTAATTAGATTTTTTTACAAACTATACTTTAAAACTATACTTATTTAAACAAGTGAAAAATAAGTTTATTAAATTTATTATTATTATTATTATTATTATAAACATTAGAAAATTAATCAAATGATTCTATTATAGTCAGCTGTTTGTAGCTATGGTCAGAGTAAGAAATTCAACTAATCTTATTATAAAGACAAAAGGAATTTAAAAAAAGTTAGTTGTCTTTTTTTTTTTTTTTTTTTTAAGCATTTCACCGCAAGCGCAAGGGTTACAGAAAATAGGAAGATCAGATAGGAGTGATAGAAGAAAGGATGAGGGTAGTAGATAGATTAAGGCAACTGGAGATGTCGATTGACATTACACTTGAATAGCTGGATCAGGGAAACAGGAGAAGGGAAGAGTTCCACAGGCGAGAGGTGCGAGACATGAAGCTATTAGAGTAGTAGAGACGGCTACATTTATGAGTTTCGACAGTGAAGGGGTGAGACGGGATGCCAGCCTCCTTGTTTTGGGGAACCAGCGAATGCAGTTCTCGGAGCAATTTCCATGAAAGTATTTGTAGAACAGACAGAGGGAGGCGACGGTGCGTCTGTGAGAAAGTGACTGTAGACGAGACGCCAGGGTAGGGCCAACGATATTACATATCCATATATCTGGAGCCTATCAAGAACCCTGAGGCAAACAGAAGGCGCAGACCATATATGGCAGCAATACTTCCATGCAAGGGCGAATTGTGGATTTGTATATCTGGAGGATCGACTCAGGGGAGAAAAACTTCCAGCACGGCTCAGGAGCTAACTTTCCTCGCAGTGGACGAGGCAATTGACTCGATGTATTTATTCCATCTCAGGTCAGCAGTCAACTGAGACCGAGGGTGAGAGTTGTTCGGGAAGTTTTCAGACATTATAATGGAGGGAAGGGAAGGCTTCTGTGGTGATTAATAGAGAGCAGTTTAATCTTCGAAGCGTTGAAGTTGACCAGCCAAATCTTGCCCCAGTTCACAATCGATTGGAGGTCCTTTTCGAGGCGCACGTCAGACTGGATTTGTTTTTTGAGGCAGGAATAAATTGTGGTGTCATCCGCGTAGATGCCGACTTGAGAACCCATTTATATAGATAAGGAATAGGGGCCTAGGATGGAATGAGGAACTCCTGCGTTCGTGGGTAGGAACTGGAGGAGAATCTTTCCAATTCACGGTTTGACAGGAATGATTGTATTACGTTATATAATTGACCCGTAATGCCATAACCCTGGATCCCCAGCGTGCCAAATATCAAATGCTTTGGAGATATCTTGCCACGGCTCGGGCTTCCCCGTTATTTTGGAGAGTTCGGTGTGGAGAGTGACCCTTTCCGTGATGGCTGTGACATTTTTATTCTTGTTTGAGGCAGATTGATTCATTGGTTAAAAACCCCGTTATTGATTAGAGCTTCGAAGATTTTGCCGAAGAGGGGAAGGAGACTGATAGGACGGTAGTTGGAAGGGAGATGGAGTTCTTGAAGACAGGAACAATCGAAGAGGACTTCCAGCAGTCAGGAAAACAAGATTCTTGAGGCAGTTTTAGGAACTCGGGCGCCAGTTCAGGCGCGTTTTTTAAGACAATGGCTGGTATCCCATCTCCACCACTCGCCTTGTTGAGATCTGGAGATAACGCCCAGTACCAATATGTTTTCAAATGGCAACAGTTCTAAGAGGAAATCGGGTATGGGTACACCAGAAGAGTCGAGCGTCGAGTTGATGAAAATTTCCGAGCAAAGCATTCAGCCTTTTAGAGGAGGTCAAGACTTCGAACTGGTTGAATAGAGGAGGTATTTTATTATTCTCTCTTGCAGAGACGCCAATAATCTTTGGAGCCAAATTTTGAGATGGTTTACGTTCCTTCATTCGAGCCGCAAATATGATTCATCATTTCACAATCGTTACGGGCGGCGGCAAAAGACGTCTATTGCAGTCAGACATGTCGTCGGTATAGGTTAGTGGTTTGGGCGATGGCGGCTGAGCAAGCAGCCGTTTTCTTAACCCTATATTTCCTTGATGGGATGAAAATTGTTTAACCCAGGAAGAAAAGAAGCACATTCTTGGACGGGGAGCTTAAAAATCCCAGGGGACAAAATAATCAGCTCGTTGATAATAGAACGAAGTTCTAGTGGTAGGAGGTTCTTTATAGGGGAGGAAAATAGATGTTAACCGATTACTGCATTTTTACCAAGTGGGCATAGTTGCGAGGCGCTGCAGGATTCGGGGATGGAGGTAAAGCACAGGTCGAGTAGAAGGCTTTACTTATCCGGTTGAGGGCAAAACGAGTGGGGAAAACTATCTTGTGAGGGAAAATTGAAAAAAAGCGTTTGAATGCCTGCATGGTCAGTAGTAGCATTTTAAGCCACAGAGGTGGGCGTTAAAGTCTCCAAACACAAAATGTGAGCAAACGGGTGGAGGGAGAGAGCCTTGTCTATGTTGTCAGAAATGCTATCAAGTATCTCACAGTCTTGAGAGGATGGAGAGCGGTAAAGGAAGAAGAGATAGCTTACCGCATTGAGGAGAGAGAGACGGAGACACATGTATGACTGGTCAGGCGAATGACGTAGACACCAAGACCGTGCATGTGGGTTAGAGAGTGAGGAGAGGAAGATAGCCGGGGATCGAGAGTCAGAAGAGGGATAGATGACAGGTTTGTCACAGAGAGAGGCACATATTTTGCAGTGAGGAAGGATTCCAGACTGTAGAAGTTTGTTCTAATGGGATGTTGGAGAATGAAATGTTGAGGGTTTAGGTGGTTTCTGAGATGCTCGTTTAGGGTAAATCTTTCGGTTTTTGTAACTCATGTTGGATTTATTTGCAAAGATGAGAAGGCCTGAGGTAAGAGAAAACAATAGTTTTGACCGTGACGCGGGCAGAGAGGAGTTTATCATTATTTTTTTCCACACAAAACCGGTATTATACAACTGTTGATCAAAGCCGCTCAAGACGCTACGCAAGAGTTAGGGCTCCTTACCAGTCGGAAACAGCAACCAGAGAAAACGCATCACGGAGAAACAGACCTGCACTAATACAGAGGCCGGAGAGAAGACAGTACCTGGAACCCCAAACAAGAAACAAGGTGTAAGTTTATGTTAGAAAAGGTTGACCGGGCGGTAGAAGGGACTTATTACAGATAACACAAAAAGGACGACACAAAAACAGAGGGAAGGATTGAGGGGAGATAACAGGTAAGAAGTCCTGGTTCACAAATGGCTATACTTTATCACATTAAGTTTTAACTTAGTATAAGTCCCATTGTCATTCTAAAAGAAATTGAAAAAACCCGGATTTATTATCACATCCAGTAGAAGACATTCAATTTTCCATTTTTCTAGTTTTTTACTTTGTTAACATTTCGGATCGGGATTCCTTACTAAATTATCAAATAAGTAGCATCATGGGACAAAAATGCCTTTCGGTAGGGAGGGAGGGAAGGGAAAAAAAAAATTTAAAAACGGAAAAACGAAAAAAAAAAAATAAAAAAAAAAATAAAAAATAAAAAAATAAAAAAAAATGAAAATATAAATGACAAAGAGCGAAACGATTTGGGCCAACAAGTGGGTAACTGTTCGTCTGATGATGGTGACTGAAAACGTTCTTTACCTTTGTCCAAGCGTCGACCTGGTGGGGGGAGGAAATCGGCCAATTTACCAAGTACTGGGCTAGGGAGATATGCTTTCAATAAGATTTCAAAAGAGGAGATAGAATGGCGAAAAAACAATTCCACTTTCAGACAATATATCAAAAAGATTCACAACATCGTTAGGATACTGACGAGACACCCTCGCATCTCGTCAAAGACATTCAATCTTCCATTAAAACGTTCTTTATACAGAAATTTTATAGACGTAAGAGAATTTCTATTACAATTTATCATTCTCCGCTTATAGAACGTTTTTTTACGGCTAGGTAAAATAAAAAAATACCCCACAAAACTGACATGAAACTGGATAAATTTGTAAAAACAACGTTCTGTCATCTTTCCCATTCTTCTATCTTTTATTCAAGACATGAGCGTTTATGTCCCTCCACGCCTTTCTATCGCTTGGACCTTTTAGCACGGATTGTACCCTTTACTATCCCTTCCTACTCACCGTTGCGTCATCTATTTACGTAAGTTTTTAGGGAGCTGTCCACCCCTCTGTCCCTCTTCAATATGTCATGTGTGTGCCAAATTCTCCAACCCGCTTTTCTCATTATGTCCGAAAAAGTTCAATTGTCTCTTTCTGGATCAAAGTAAAAGCTTTCTTTTTACCCCTATTTTCCTTAAAACTTTCTTGTTTCTCACATGTTCAGCCCATGGCATTCTCACCATCATTCTGTAGAATCACATCTATGTTGTCTCAAGTCTTTTATTCATATGGGAAAAAATGTCTATGGAGGTTTGATATTACATAGCAGTTTAGCACACTTTCTTTGTTTCTCTATTATCAAAATATCTAATTACTAATTAGAGGAGCTTAGGTTGTATGACCGATACATAATTAAAGTCACATTGTGTTTTATATTTGTAGAACATATTAAATAATTATATACGTTTTTTTATTTCTTTATTGTTTTACGTTTTTGTTGCCTTTTTCTCCTTTTTTCTTTTCACTTACCTTAATTACTTACTTCTCTCCTTTGTTTTCTTCTTCTTTTATTTCAACATTCCCCTTCCTTTCTGTTGAAACTTGACTAATGCATGGAATAATAATGCAACACAAAATGTACTTAGAACAAAATGTATTGAAACAAGAAAGTGTACACAATATTTACATATAGTCTTTTGTATATTCCTGGTAAGACCGTTGCTGGAGAATGTGTTGACTGAGTCTCATTCGGGCAGAGTCTCTGGTTGAATCTCTTGATTCCTCCCTCTCTTCCCGGTACCAACCATATTTATATGGTCGGTACTCCACTATGAAAATTAGGTGGATCCTACCACAACACTTTCCTTCTTATATTCTTTATTCTTTCTTTCCTTTTTTCTTTCTTGTCTTCTTTCTTTTCATTATTTTTCTCTTTCTACCTTTCTTTCTTTTTTCCTCCTTTTTTATTTGTTTTAATTTCTTCAGTCACTTCTTTGTTCTCTTCTTTCATTTGTGCTTCCGATTTGATTTTATTTCTATTCTTTTTCCATCTTTGTCTCTTTCTTGCCTTCTTTATTTCCTTACTTTTCTCCTTTCTCTTTTTCTACCTTTTTTTCTTTTTTTATCTTCCTTTATTACTTTCTCCTCTTCATTCTTTTCTTCATTTTAACTTCCGATTTTCTTTTCTTTTATTTCTATTCTTTATTCTTTTTTTCCATCCTTATCTCTTGTCTTCTTTCTTTCTTTCTTTTCCTCCTTTCTCTCTTTTTACCTTTCTTTCTTTCCGTTGTGGATTCCGGGATGAAATCCGGTCTCAAATGAATGACAAACGCAGGAATGAAATATAGCAAATAAATGTATTGACGTCATAATACAATTGGTAATACGGTTAGTAGATCCAGAAATGCGGTTAGTAGCAATAATAATATATATACAGTCTGGGAAATTCAGTATCGAAGTATGACTTCCTTCTGAGTCTACGTGCTCGCAACTGTGACTCCTACAAAGCGGTTACCTCAAACTCTCACCGTATCACTCTCTCACTGTATCACTGTTTCACTGTATCACTCTCCGACTGTCACTCCCGGGTATTCACCGGTAGCAGTACAAGTACACACCGGGCGAGTCCACTTTTATGAAAAAGGGGTGAACCCTTAACACTTTCTTTTTCCTTTTTTATCTGCCTTAATTCCTTTCTTCTCTTCTTTGTTCTCTTCTTCATTTTTTTCCCTGATTTCTTTACTGTTACTTCTATATTTTATTCTTTTCTTTCCATCCTTATCTTTCTTGCCTTTTTCCTTTTTTTTCCTTTTTTCTCGCTTTCTTTCTTTTTTTCTTGTTTCTCTTCCCTTTCTTTTCTTCGTTCTCTTCATTTTTATTTCCGTGTTTTTTTTTTCTTTTACTTCTTTTCTTTATTATTCTGTTCTTTCCATCCGTATCTCTTTCTTATCTTTCTTTCTTTTCTTATTTCATCTCCTCCTCCCTTTCTTTTTTTTTCTTCTTCATTTTCCAGTAAGATTCAAACCAGAATAAACCATTCCGATTTATCTATTTCTGTATAAAACCAATCAGAACTTTTCGCAGTAAATACTTGTCAACGAATATGAGAACCGAAACGGACATTCTCCGTCCTGACGCATTAAAAAACAAATAATCTTCATCTTCCTCAATTGAAATATTAATGATGGGATTAGTAAAGAAATCAATTTTCCACTGAAAAATATTGATGATTTTCATATGATTCTGCCCAGTCATTTTGGAAGATGACCAACGAGATATAGCCAACGCTTCGCCATTGACCCTAGTGCTCACAACACACCTGTTTCTAGTCACGTTATCAAATACTGATAAGTCTTCAGCAAGTCTTGAAAATGTTTACCCCTAAGAAACAAGGCTTCTTTCCTAAAGCAATGTAACTTTTACGATCTGTTTGACGCGTTTCCAACGTCGGATACTTTTCAATCGGTTTGTTTGAAGTATTTTCTTTTCTTTTCATAGTGGCGATGTACACGTTGATATAGTTTTCTTTTAAAATCTCTAAGGATGTGTAATGGATATCGGCTTGGAATGAAAAATCGGAAAGCCGAGTTCGAATTCCAGTCGAGTTACATATATTCACTTATTCGCAAATAATCTTGGAAATGGTATGAATCCATCTCTCCTTTCAACGACAGATTGAATAGCAGGACAGTCAGGGTTCTTTAGAACTGGTTGTCAACAAGTCTACTGCAGAAAATAGCAGGATAGACTGGGGTTCTTTATCCCGGGTTGGCAATCAGTCTACCGCAAATAATAGCTGTACAGATTGTTTGTTTTTTTTTACCTAGGTTGGCAACCGGTGTTACGACAGAAAGAAATGGCAACCTACTAACAATCTTCTGCCTAGTCAGTTATATATCGAAAGGCACATGTACCACGCGTGTATCACCTATGGCACTTAACTGAAAGTGTCAACATTGATTTAAGATAGAATGTTGTGGAGAGACATAATCGCCCAAACGTGTTTCACGTATGGCACTTAACTGAAAGAGTCAAGAGGGATTTAGGTGAGAAAATTATGGAGAGACATGATCACTCAAGCGTTGTATCGCATATGGCTCTTAACTGACTGACGACCATTATTCATTAAAGTTAATTTATGAAAGTAAAGTTCCTGGCGGGTTGCATTGTATTATCCATCGTCTTATATGGCAGTGAATGCTTAACGATCTCCACAGGGATGAGAATAAAACTAGGTACCGCAGAAATGTGGTTCTACAGAAGTATTCTGAAAATTCTATGAATGGAGCATGTCAGCAGAAAAAAAGACATACTTAGAATCAGGTAAAGATGGCTGAAATTCTTTGGTTGATTGGTTGGTGGATTTTCTTCAGCGTCTTATCATCGTCTACGGTCTATGTAATGCCAAAATCTAAATGTTTTCTATATTCTTGAGATGAGTTATTGTAACTATTTACACTATTTACATTGTTCGGACTGTTGTCTACATCTTTATTGTCATATTCACATGTGTCCGCTCCGGCCTTCTTCAGGTGATTGGAATTTCTAAAAGGCACATGAAAACTACTTTGCGGTTGTGAGGAAGTGGCTCTAGCCAAGATGTCAAATCAAGACCAATAATATTGCTAATTCTTCTTTGAATCTTATCAAGTATCTCTAAATATACAGCAAGAGCACCAGACCATATGCAACAGCAATATTCAAAGCAAGGATGAATGGTAAACTTATAAATATTTAATATTCTGAAGAGATAAATTGTTTACACGATACAGTAAACCATTTTTCCTAGCAGCAGACATAGCAATTGATGCAATATACTCTTTCCACTTCATGTCAAATATGATAAAAAATACTATTAAGGAGAGAAGAATAAGAGAACAGTAATTATGAAGACAGAAAATAACAGGAAAAAAAAATAAATTTTTGATGATCAAAGTTGACTGGAAATCAAGAAGCCAGAAGAGAGTTCCACAGGCAAGAAGTGTGATAGAAGAAACTACTAGCATAGAACTTACAGTTGCATCTATGCATTTCAATTGTAAAATGATGAGACCTTGACACCAATCTAGTACTGCACTTAAATTCATAAAGTATAGGTACTATAGCGAAGAGTTCCACTGAACAATTACAATAAAAATATTTATTAAAATGGCACAAGGAAGCAACTTTAAGGTGATGGAAAAGTGAATGAAGGCGAGATAACAGGTCAGCACCAATAATATTGCTGATTCTTCTTTGGATCTTATCAAGTATATCTAAATATATAGCAAGAGCACCAGACCATATGTAGCAGCAATATTCAAAGCATGGATGAATGGTAAACTTATAAATATTTAATATTCTGAAGAGAAAAATTATCTTACACGACACGGTGAACCGACTTTCCTACGCAGTAGACATAGCAATTGATGCAATATACTCTTTCAACTTCATGTCAAATATGATAAAAAATACTATTAAGGAGAGAAGAATAAGAGAACAGTAATTATGAAGACAGAAAATAACAGAAAAAAAAATGAATTTTCGATGATCAAAGTTGGATGGAAATCAAGAAGCCAGAAGAGAGTTCCACAAGCAAGAAGTGTGATAGTGATGCAATATACACTTTCCACTTCGTGTCAAATGAAGACGTTATTCTAAGAAGACGCAATGAATATCTCTCCTGGAGGTTAGCATCAGTCATCCACCAATAATAAATTCTGGTAAAATCTTATGTTCTTTTAGCATCGCCTAGTTGCATAATTTAAATAAATCCGATAAGAAGACGCTTACTTGTCTTATTCTCCCTTACTATTATTAGGTACATGCACAATTTATTTTCTTTGAATTAAGTAGATTTCGTCATTGTCACTTCGTCATGAATTTAACTTTATTCCAGCCATTCACTATCGATGTAACCATGAGGCCAATGCAAAAGCTGACATTCATCGATCGTAAATTACTGTTTCCGTTGATGTTTAAATATGTAATGGGTCATTAAAATAAATTTACTAGGGGAGGTAACCCAGATAAGTATCTGAAGCATTGAATTACTACAACGACTAATTTAACTCGTGTTTCGAGGGAGATATCTGGAGAAAGATGGCGAGTTAACGAGATTTCATAGTTATAAAGCGGGTCGTTCGTATGATTTGGGAAAGAGTTATGCTGATCATGCGAAATAGAAGCAATGTGACGCGCTGTACATATATTTTCATTTTACTAATGTTCATCCAAGACGTGACCCAAAAGCCACTCATGGTAAAGTGTGAGTGGTATGGCCGTAAGAAAAGGAAGTAAGAAAAGAAGATGATGATGACTTGAAGAGTAAATAACGATGGAGCCAGGAATAAAAGACGTTAAGACTGTAATGTTCTTGGAACTATACCCACGACAGCTCTTCTTGGAATGATGTTTTCTGTGTGAAAGGTTCCTCTTACAAAAGGAATATTATGAGAATGACCCTGTAGACTTAACGTGGGGAGTCTTAGCTGTAAAGCTCTGAGTTGGTGGCACTAAGGAATGAAGATCACCAAGTATTCTCAGCATCCTTCAGTAGAACCACATTCCTGTTGCTTCAAATCTCTTCTTCGTCTGTGGGAAGATTTTCCCGCACTCACTGCTATATAGGCAGACTGATATTAGGTTACAGTTCAGTAATTGCTGAATACAGATAAACCTTTAATTTGCAGATTTTCATAAAAATGACAAAGTGACATTGTGATGGGTAGAAGGAAGGATAATAGGTGGCGCAAAAGGTTGCTTGAATTGCACTGAATAGTTAGACTCAGAAAGAAAACTAACAAGATAGGGTAATGTAATAGAAGGGTTTTTTTTAGCAAAATATATTAATATAATCATGGTCGTTATAAATTTGGATATGAAATGATATAAACGATCGATATCCGACGGGTCACCAGAATCCCTGCCACCCTCGCAAGAAGATCGAACGTTTCTAAAACAGACCCCGAAACGCCATACTCCTTAATTGGTTGACCTTAATCGACAAGTTTCGTTACAGACAAGATCTGTTTCTTTTTTGTTGTTGTATTTTTACAACTTTCGAGATTTAAACTAATCGAAATTAACAGCATGTGTAAAACTGTTACACGGAGCTAGATCGTACTGAAAAATTAAAACCCAACCTGCTTTGAAAGAAATTGCTAGAATCCGGGCACTGAATTCGCTGCTACAGGATATATTGCTTATATTTTAGCAGTTTATTATTGAGCATGACTCGATACTCGCTTTTTATCAAGTATTTGAATGAGGTTTTAAAACACCTTTTGAAGAACTCAGATTACTTATTTTTACAACGTAACATTGCAGAATCTTCAAATCCAAATCACCTGCCTTGAAGGTGTTAAAGGACAAAACTCTTCAAGACAAGAAAAATCAGAAAAAGAATTCCTGCCAATTTTTAAATATAATAATGGAAACATTTCTCAGGCGTATATGCAACGGAAAATTGAAGAAAAGGCGATTAGCTTTATTTTTTTTCCGTAATCAGTTCCGTTCCAATGGAATTCCTATTATTTATCTATCGCCATTATGCGTTCTTTTCTGCTAGAAAACCCAATTTTCTCAATTTCAAACCTTCTCTTACATTAAGGATTCTTCTTATTAAGAATTCTTATAATTCTAAACGCTAACAAGCCAACGCCCTCACACACCACAAAAAAATATTATTTTTAATAAGCTGAGTGCAGCTTTACAATTCTTACGAATATAAACCTTTTATTCTCGTTTTTTTTTCGTTTCATTTGCTTTTTTGCATATTTATATGGTTTTGTTATATGGTATTGAAATGATATCATTTAAAATGGATATCAACTTTCTCCCACTTCCATCGTAAGAATTGCTAACAAAATGTACCTAAAATTTAGAGAAAGAGAAAAATTTGAACCGATTGTCACCTCTCTTAAATATCCGTTTATTTTATTTTAATGTTGCTGGAACTGAATCTGTATGTCGTACAGGCTGGTTAAAAACAAAGTAGTTTGATAAAATAACCAGATTGGCGTTTCACAATCACCTGAAAAGATAAGTAAACATATTATAATGATCTTCATTTAAAGCATAG